TTCTCCCATGGACACACTGCATCTACACCAACAGACGGAGAATTACTTCTGAAGACCTAATGGCTGCTTGAATAGCTTCTGCACAACAAACAACAGAGGGACCACGTACAGAAAAGCAGAAGAGACCAGTAACAACGAGACCAAAGCGACAACCTGTCAGCAGCTGCGTAGGCAGGGAGGAATAACACTCAGGAACCCGCATGCGCATTTGCTCATCCCTGGGGCAACTGAACTGGAAGTGAAGGAAATCCATTTATTAACCCCCTGGAGCGTCTACCGAAGGGTGGGAGAAGGGCTGGAGCTCTCCGGGGTTGGAGGGGCCAGAGGGGCAACTGTTTACACCCCCCCCAACCACCTGGATAGCACAAGAGGGGGCAAGGTCCGGGCGCTCTGGCCGGCCTGCCAGGCCTGCTCCGCTGAGCCCCGGGCCCCTAACACACCGACCCCCGTTGAGCCCCAGACCCCTAACACACCGACCCCCGCTGTCCCACAAGGAGGCCCCCGCACACGGTGCTCTGGGACCCCTCGGGCCTGCACCAGCTCAGCACCTCACCAGGAATGCCCAGATACCTCATGCACTGCGACACTCCCAACCAGCACCGGCTCCAGCCCAGCCACCCCGCCAGGGCCGTCCAGGATCCCCGAACCTGGCAGGCCCCAGCTCCAGCCATCCGGCCCCAGCACAGAACACTCCAGAACCCCTGCGGCATACCTGGGGCAGGTCCGGCCATCCTGCCGGTGCAGCGGTCTGTGCGCACTCCAGCCCCAGAAGCGGCCCTGACCTGCACCGGCTCCGGCAGGCCAGCCAAAGCCACCGGGGACATGCAGCCTACACAGGGGACGTCGCTACACAAAGCCGCTTCTTCAAGACTGAGACAAGTAGCTCTTCTGTCTTTCACAAAAACAAACACATAAGTCAAACAGAATAAGGAGACAGAAGAAAATGTTCGATAAAAGACGATAAAACCCCAGAGGAAGAAAACCCTCATGAACAAGATAATTTACCTCGTAAAGAGTTCAAAGCAATGGTCATAAAAGTGCCCACTGAACTTGGGAAAGAATGGAGGAACACAGTGAAAACTTCAACAAAGAGTTAGAAAACATAAGGAAGAACCAAAGAGAAGTCACAACTGAAGGTTACGGTAACAAAATTGAAAAATACACTATATGGAATCAATAGCAAATTGTAAGATACAGAAGAACAGATTAGCGATCTGGAAGACAGAATAGTGGAAATCACCCAATCAGAACAGTTAAAAAAAAAAAAAAGAATTTTTAAAAATGAGAAGTTTAAAAGACCTCTGGGACAGTATCACTTGTACTAACATTCATGTTATAGGGGTTCCAGAAAAAGAGAAAGGGGCAGAAACTTATTTGAAAAGATAATGGCTGAAAACTTCCCTAAGACCCGGGGAACTGACTGGGTACAGGAATCCCAGAGAGTCCCAAACAAGATGAACCCAAGAAATCCATACTAGGGTATACTATAACTAAAATGGCAAAAGCTAAAGCAAAAACCTTAAAAGCAAGAGGAAAAAACAGAGTCACATACAAAGAAAACCTATAAGGCTCCCAGCTGATTTCTCAGCAGAAGCTGTACAGGCCAGAAGAGAGTGGCACTACATATTCAAAATGCTGAAAGGAGAAAAAACCTACAAACAAGAACATTCTATCTGGCAAGATTATCATTTGGAATTGACAGAGCACCAAAAGCTAAAGGGAGTTCATCACCACTAAACCAGCTTTACAAGAAACGTGAAAGGGTTTTAAGTGGAAAAGAAAAGGCCATAACTTGAAATAAGAAAAACCTATGAATGAGGGGCACCTTGGTGGCTTGGTTGGTTAAGCATCGAACTTTGGCTCAGATCATGACCTTGCAGTTCCTGAGTTCGAGGCCAGCATTGGGTTCTGTGCTGACAGACAGGAGGCTGGAACCTGCTTCGGATTCTGTGTCTCCCTCTCTCTCTGCTTCTCTCCTGCTCACATTCCGTCTCTTTGTCTCTCAAAAATAAACAAACTTTTTTAAAAAAAGAAAATATATGAATGAAAAAGATCTTACTGGTAAAGGCAAATATATAGCAAAGGCAGTAAATCAACCACTTAAAAAGTAAGAAGGTAGGGGCGCCTGGGTGGCTCAGTCAGTTAAGCGTCTAACTTCGGCTCAGGTCTGATCTCATGGTTCGTGGGTTCGAGCCCCGCATCAGGCTCTCTGCTTACGTCAGATTCTGTGTCTCCCTCTCTCTCTGACCCTCCTCTGCTCACGCTGTCTCTCTCTATAAGAAATAAATAAAACATTAAAAAAAATTTTTTTTAAGTAAGAAGGTTAAAAGAAAAAAACAGTAAAATCAACTTATAACAACAGTAAAGGAATACGCAAAATAAAAAGACGTAAACTATGGCATCCAAAACCTAAATGGGGGTGAAAGAAGTAAAATTACAGTGTTTTAGAATGTTAGAACTTGTGACTAACAGCTAAAAATAGACAACTGTATGTATAGGTCAATATTTAGGAACTTCATAGTAACCACAAACCAAAAGTCTATGATACACAGACACACACACACACAAATGAGATAGGCACCCAAACGCTAAATAAAACTATCAAACCATAAGAGAGAAAGATAAGGAATAGAGAACTAAAGAAACAAGTAGAAAACAATTAAATAAATGGCAATCATATTAATACTTACTTTCATTAATTACTTTAAATATAAATGGTCTAAGGGGCACCTGGGTGGCTGTCAGTTAAGCGTCTGACTTCACCTCAGGTCATGATCTCGCGGTTCGTGGGTTCCAGCCCCGCATCAGGCTCTGTGCTGACAGCCAGCTCAGAGCCTGGAGCCTGTCTTCAGATTCTGTGTCTCCCTCTCTCTCTGACCCTCCCCTGCTCACGCTGCCTCTCTCTCTCTCAGAAATAAATAAAACATTTTAAAAAATAAATAAATATAATGGTCTAAATACTAAATATTGAAGGACAAAATTGGAGAACTGATGATATCCAACTTCAAGACTTACTATGCTACTGTAATCAAGACACTGTGGTATTGGCTAAAAAAAATCTAGACACAGACCTAACACATTTCACAAAAATTAACTCAGGATGGATCACTGATCTAAATGTAAAATGCAAAACTATAAAACTCCTATTAAAAAAACTTAAAACTTAGATGACACTTGGGTATGGTGAAGCCTTTTTAGATACATCAAAAATATGACCCATGAAGGAAATCACTGATTAGCGTGGCTTCATTAAAATTAAAAACTTCTGCAAAGGGTATTATCAAGATAATGAGAAGACAAGCCGCTGACAAGGGAAAAAAATACTTGCAAAAGACACATCTGATAAAGGATTGCTATCCAAACTACAAAGAACTCTTAAGACTCAGTAGTAAGAAAACTATTTAATTAAAAAAGGCCAAATACCTTGACACTTTGGGAAAAGGTGCTCCACATATGTCCTCAGGGAAATGCAAATTAAAATAATGAGATACCACTACATGCAAGACTGGCCAAGATCCAGAACAGACAAATGTTCAAAGTAAATGGTACAGCTGTTTTGGCAATGTGGCAGTTTCTCACAAACCTACACGTACTCACCATGCAGCCCATCAATCACACTACTTAAGATTTACCCAAAAGAGTTGAAAAGACACCCACCCCCAAACTTGCACACAGATGTTTATAGCAGCTTCATAATTGCCAAAACTTGGGAGGCAACGAAGGTGCCCTCCAGCAGGTGAATGAATGGTAATGTGTGGTACATAGAGTGGAATACTATTAACCAATAAAAAGGAATGAGCTATTAAGCTATGAAAAGACATAGAAGAGACTTAAATGCATATTCCTAAGTGAAAGAAGCCAATCTGAAAAGGTTCTGTATGATTCCTAGTACGCGCCATTCTAGAAAAGGTGAAACTATGGAGGTAATAAAAAGATCAGTGATGGTGGAAGATTCGGTGGGGGAGAGATGAACAGGCAGAACACAAGAGTTGTTTCAGGGCAGTGGAAATACCCCGTGGATTACCCTATGTCATTCTTCCAAACCCATCACGGCCAAGAGTGATCACTAAGGAAAACCATGAACTCTGGGTGATTTTAACATGTCAATGGTGGTTCATCCTTGGTAAAAAGGGTCCCATTCTCATGAGTGATGTGACTATCAGGGGTGGCTGTGCGTGTAGAGATGGGGGGGCACGTGGGAAATCTCTGTACCTTCTCCATTCTGTTATAAACCTCAAACTGCTCTAAAAAATATTAAATATTTAAACAAAAATATAACAAAAAAACCCAAACCTACATTCATCTTTGTTTGTAGCCCTGATGTTAACGAAGAGGTAGCCTGAAATGTCAGACACAGAATTCGGCTCACTTCCTAGATGATTTGCTCCTGTGAAGCGAGTGGCAATTCCAAAAGCTGGATGTCTCAATTTGCCTGAACAGGAGGGATTCCCCTGTCGGCCTCAGGTATTTGACATCTGGTCAGCTAATTCACATCTATGAATCCTCTACTAATGTGTCTTTTCAAAATACCCAGGAATCTTCTGAGAGGGGAAAAAAAGAGAGAGAGAGAAATGACAAGATTATAATTAACAGGCTGAATTTAAGATTATATTTATTATATTAACTAAGTGAATTTTTTTGTTGGCCTGAAACAGGTGGGGAAAAAAAACAAAACCCTGGAAATGTCACTTTCCAAACCATCCATTACCTTGTCATTCACAGTGGGGAAGCAGAGTAGTTTCACAAGGTTTGGCAATCTAAGAACTTTCTTAGGCACATAGTCCTAAATTTAAGCATACTTTATGCATAGAAATTTTATCTGTCCATGAATTTTAAGTTAGTCCTCATACTTGCTGACAGGAAAATCTTTGTATACCTTGGTTACAAAAAGGATCAAAATCTGTATTAAAAGTACTAGAATCATCTGAAGAAGCCAAAGGAAGGCAGTTTTATTACTCTTTCCCCATTTAGGAGAAAAATCTGAAAAATGACTCATCCATCTCTGCTAAAGAATGTGTTCAAAACTGTTATTTTCAAACTACAATATTGAGAAAGATCTTTATTTGCTTTATACAATGGTAAAAATTATATATTATACATTAACATACCATATATCTCCATGATATATACACTGCCTACCAAAACATTTTTTACTATTCTTCAAAAAAAATAAAAAACACCTAAATGTGTTCTTTTTAAGATGTACATTTTCTCCAAAAGAAGAAATTTCTAGCTTTTACTCGTGGAGGGCAGGGAGGCACATCTGTATAGAATTATTCCATCTAAGAAGTTTTTCTCATATAAGAAATGTGGGATTCACTGTATCACTCCAATTTTCTTCTTTTTTCTCTTCTTTTTTTCCAACGTTTCTACCGTTTTCCTCTTCTTGGTTGACACCAGGCTATTTCCTTTCGTTGGCTTATTCCTGGCATCAGTTAAACCACATTTCTTCTTAGGTTTGGACTGCCTTTCTTCCTCCTGCACCATATTGCCAGCTTCCTTTTTGTTGATTTGAGATTCTTCTTTACTTACTAAAACACAAGAGACAGTGCATTTAAAGACTGCTTTTCCCCTCTTGAAATAAATACAAGCTGAGGATAAAGTGAAGTTATCTGAATCTCCTCCACCTCAACAATTCAAGAACAGACTTTTTAGAAACGATCACTTTCACTTACCAACGGAAGGCTCTGCAGCCGGAGGAAGGCTTTCTTTGGCATCTGTCGCTCTGTCTAGCCACACTCCGAGGCATGTCAGCCTGGCATTAGTTTTTACTTCACAGAGTAAAGATGGAGGAACTTTCTAAAACAGAAGAAAGAATTCATAACATAGGGGAATTGTAAATACTTTTCTTTTTGCGTAATCAAGTGAACTTAACTTTTTTCCAAAGATTTTTTTTTTTAAGTAATCTCTACACCCAACGTGGGACTCCAACTTACAACCCCCAAGACCAAGAGTCACATGCTTTACTGAGTCAGCCAGGCGCCCCTCAAGTGAACTTAAAAGTTACTATGTGTTCTTGAAAATAAAATATACTGCTTAGAAAAGACCTATCATCTTGATTCATGTTTGGTTTGGCTATGTCCTTCACAGAACATGTTTCTGAATATTCAGAAATTGTAAATTCACTAAGGAAAAGGATCATGTCTGGTTCACTTCTAGATTTTAATAAAGAACCCTGCGCAAAGCAGACACTCGACAAACCACATTTGTGGAATGTGTTTATAACAGAACCAAGTAAAACAAGTAAAAACAAGAGAATCTGTAAGAGTGAGGCCACTGAAGGGATCTAACTTCCCACTTATCTGATTCAAAACTGTTGTTAGATAATTGATCAGTAGCTTTCAAATTTTTAGTAATGGCAAAGGCTCCACACCCAACATGGGGCTTGAACTCACAGCCCTGAGATCAAGAGTCACATGTTTTACCAACTGAGCCAGCCAGACACTCCAGTAATGGCAGTATTTTTATCTAGCAAAATCTTATAGAGAAGAGTAATATACACCCAACAGAGAAGAAAGTGGCGCTCCTCTGACTGTAAAAGCAGCAGTTCTGGTACCCTGCCAGCTCAGACTCACACCAACCCCACGCTAGCTCCTAGAACCCTACCTTTAAAACTATGAGCATCAATCATGCATGAAAGAGATTTTAATTTTTTGACAGATCTCTGCCTTATGACCTTTGAAAAATATCACCTCACTTAACCCAAAACAACACCGACAGTAAGCCTTGCATTACAGCGCATTTATAGTGTGCTAACACACCTACCTTATTCTGCATAAGCTTCCACATTTTGATGAAGCCATCACTTGACGCTGTAACAATAACATGATGCTCTGGAATTTCAAAACTGAACATGTCCTTTATCCTAGAATGAAATATTAACACCATAAAGGATCCTTTCTTCCCGAAAGTATGATATTGTTGTAAAACTACGCACATGGACTCTTCATTTTTCAATGTTCCAAATGCTTCCAAACTGCTCAAAGAACAGTGCTAAAACAGAACGATGCTCCACATCCCCATAAGTCAGTGTGCCATTTTCAGGGTCTAAATTCTAGATAAAATGGATTGTTAACCAGATCTTAAGAAAAACCTGAAAAGATGATCATGATAACCATAAGTAATTAGGTTATCACAAATGAAATAAAAATACTAAGTCCTTCACCTCAGGAGACTCCAAAGTCAGTATGAACAGACAAGTAACAAAACAGAGATAAACCCCGGCTTTCTCCTACGCCCTCATTTCGCCCCCTCCAGTGCCACCGCCCTAGTCTCAGCTACTACCGCTGCTCCTCTGGATTACCAAGGAGCCTAACTGGTCTCTCTGTTTCCATTTTTGCTAACATTTTTTTTTTAATTATCAAATCATGTTACTCCCCGGTTTAAAATCCTACAAAACCAGGATCTTTTTAAAAATAAGACAGGAGAAGGGCGCCTGGGTGGCTCAGTCAGTTAAGCGTCCGACTGTGGCTCAGGTCATGATCTCACGGTTCATGGGTTCAAGCCCCATGTTGGGATCTGTGCTGACAGCTCAGAGCCTGGAGCCTGCTTCAGATTCTGTGTCTCCTTCTCTCTCTCTCTCTGTCCCTCCCCTGCTTGTGCTCTGTTTCTCTCTCTCTCTAAAATAGACATTTAAAAAAAAAATTTATTTTTTTAGTAACACAGGAGAGGAGGAAGGTGCCAGGAGCATATATAAAGCAAGTCTGGCCATAAACTGACAACTGCTGAAGCTGGGTGATGGGTCTATGGGTGTTGCTTCCTTAAACTGGTCTATTGGCCTTTACAGTTTTCCACAATAAGAAACAAAACAAAATCTACAAAGGCCCTTAGATAAAATCTAAACTCTTCACCAGTCTACAAGCCAAGCACCATTTGGCTCACTCTGATCCAGGCACACAGATCTTCCATCTGTTGCTGAGACACATCCAGCTCTTTCCTCCCTCAGGCCTCTATGCATGCAGTCTCTCGTCTCTTTAGAAACAGCTCCCTTTTATCCCTCAAGTATTATCCTCCTCCATTTCTGGATCAAGCTGTGGAAGTTATCTCTGTTATTCTTAAAACACACCTTTCTATTCCTTCCTGTTCTAATTACCTGCTTACCTGAGTCACTGAATGCAAGCTCTTGTGTTTTCCTTCATCATTAAATACTTAGTGCAGTTCTTAATGGATGCCCAATGAATACTTGTTAAATGAATGAACAGCCAAATATTCCAAGTGTTATCTTAAGTGTACTAGAGTTAGTAGTATATTTGATTAAAATGGCTGTGAATGAACACTTCCCAATGCAGGGAAGAACAGGGCCTATACACTGAGTACAGTATCTGCAGTATTCACAAGAGATTTCTCAAAAAACACTATTTGGAAGATAAAAACTAGGACTTGCTTAAGACATAAAAAGACAAGTAAATGAAGCACATTAAAGTAGAACTGTGCATTATCTCCTTTTCCACAACTGTGTAGAAAAAGCGGAGGCAGACAGAATGGAGTTTGGATCTCAGCCCCACCACCCAACAGTGGGGTGACCTCGGCCAAGTCACTGAGCTGTTTACTCTGACCATTAGCGTCTACGCCTAGAAGTACAGGGAGCAGTAACAGGCAAGAAAGATTGGCATAAAACAGAAGTCATTACTGTCACATATTTCTCCTGCAGGAAAAACAAGTAGTGTGCAAAGGGGGAGTGTAAAAGAGGAACAAAGTAAAAGCACAACAGAGATCCTGGCAAAGCTCAAACTGTTTTTTGGTGGTTTTTGTTTTTTTTTTTTTTGCTCCTCTTCAAAAATGGCTGATTTCAGGACCCAAGTCCAATATCATTGGAAAAACATCTTGTGCAAATCACTAGTCCTGACGACAGCTTCCCCACTTTTGCGCAAAGGCCAAGACAACATGTCTACCGTCCTCTCAGATTCCAGGAATCATATATATGTAGGAATGTCTATCTCTGTAAGAATGTATCCCACCTTATGAAACTACTGCATACGGGACGTTTACTGAAGACCCTACACTTACATACACACATACACAGAAACTGGCAAAACAAAACAAATAACAACAACAAAAATACCTGTTATCATGAGCTTTAAATTCACAGAGACGCATTAGTGAATCACAGTCAAAAAACCTGACAACTTCTTCATCTCCAGCCACTGCCAGGACAGACTCCTGGAAGAAAGAAAAACAATACCCAGAGTGTCACCAACGATTCCAACCATCATCACACACACTCGGATTCCACCACGGACGGCTCCTCACTTACTGAGAGAAATGTGAGCGAAGACACTCTCTTTTCGTTTGTGATGGTGCCACTCACAGATGCAGTGTCCACTTGGTAGACATCTATTTTATTCAGTATAACAACTACGTATTTCTCCCCTCTTGGGGACCATTCCACTATGTGAGCATCTGTAAGTTTAAAAAAAAAAGCTTTTTCATTTCATAAACAAAAAAATGAAATAATCAGAGTAATATTAAAAATAGCAAATAGCTATACCATGCATTTCATACCCACTGCCGTATTTAGCCTTCATAATGAATTTTTGATAAATATTTTGCAAGTTAAGGTTTAGAAAATAAACTGGACTCAAAGGATTAAAGGTCAGAGAGCTGGTAGTTGACACGACCACGTCAAGAACCCCAAAATAAAATGGGGAAGAAAAGAAAATGGGAAAAGTAACCCAAAGCATTCCTCCAGGAGGTAACTACCACCGTGCAGGGGAAATAACATCCAAATAAAAGTACTCACTTTGTTTTATATTTTTTATAAATGCTGATCTTCCTTCCACAAGATTCCATGTTCTGCAAAACAGGAAGTTCATTGATGGCACGGTAACTTTTACTACGTGGGACGGTAAGCATAAGGAACACTTACTCAAATGACAATTTACTACAGATGCAGCTATTTGGAACTGTCGTGTTTCTTACGACAACACTGAAAATATTTACCATCAAGCAAGACTAACACACCCATTCCCATACCCCTTTCACCTATTTAAAATGTTTAATATATTTTCAAAAGGTCTCACCTCTTAAAGTATTTCGTTTTAGGATCCTCTTCCTGTTTGCTTCACAACTCACAATGACTGGGATGTAACGTGTATGCCTGAACACAGAGCCTATCAATTTCTCTATCATTATGAAAAGGTTCACTAGCTTTCAGCCTTTCCTTGTGCTGCAGTATCTTTAAGTAGCTGACACCCGTGAGACAAGACAGAAATGTATCTAAAAGATACCCTGAAGGTACTTGGAGAACAAAGACCACAACTGAGAAAAGATGCTCTCGGCATTAATGACTTACCTTAACGTCTTATCTGTACCCACAGACAGGGCCAACTTGCCAGATGGGTGAATAGAAAGGAAGGTCACGTGTCCTCTAAAAGGAAACCAACAGTTAGCTCCCAACTTGACTGGTACCTGGAGACCGCCCATGGGAAAGGGCTGGACTCACTTGTGAGCTTTAATGGACTTCAGGCACTCCCATTTCTTTGCATCCCAGACACAAATGAGTCCATCTTCGGCCCCACTGATTAAGTGCCTGTTGCCATGGAATTTCAGGCAAGTTATTGTACCTGTGGAAAAATCAAAATACAAACTTAATATTTTGAATGCAGACTCCATTTCTGGTTTGAAGGCTATGCTGTGGTAAGTAAAAATCTAATGTCTTAGTATTACTGAAATATGCCTCCAAGTCTTAAATGAATAAATTCATTTTTTTCATATCAAGACGTACAATTTCAAGGACATGAAAATACTTTTGGCAGAATTTCTCTAGTTGTAGATACAAACGGCAGCTAATCAGTTCACTTACTTGCTCTGTGTGTCCACAATCATAAATTTGGAGATAGCTGGGTAGGACTATTTGAGCAGAAGTCAAACAAAACCAACCAGTAAACCAGCTAATCTGGGGAATAAACCAAGATTTACAGCCATATGCCTTCTTCCTTTTCTTTCCCTCCCTCTCTTCCTTCCTTCCTTCCTTTTGAGACAGCAAGAACGCAAGTGGGGGAGAAGGGCAGAGAGAGAATCTCAAGCAGGCCCCACGCTCAATGTGGCTGGATCCCATAACCCTGGGATCGTGACTGGAGCTGAAATCAAGAGTTGGATGCCACTCAGGTGCCACCCCTCCTTCTTTTTTTTTTTTTTTTTAATGTTTTATTTATTTCTAGGAGAGAGAGACAGCGTGAGCAGGGGAGGGTCAGAGAGAGAGGGAGGCACAGACTGAAACAGGCTCCAGGCTCTGAGCTGGCAGTCAGCACAGATCCCAACGCGGGGCTCAAACCCACGAACCGCGAGATCATGACCTAAGCGAAAGTCGGACGCCCAACCGACTAAGCCACCCAGGAGCCCCGCCACTCCTCCTTCTTTACTGAAAGAGAAGAGAGGAGCGACTATTATTTTCTAAGCAGTCAGCTACCCAATCATCCACCATCCAATTATTATCACTACAGAGCTGTTTTCTACACAGTTCTCATTCATGTCATAAAAACGTATTAGAGGGGCACCTGGCTGGCTCAATCAGTAGAGCATATGACTCGATTTCAGGGTTGTAAGTTCGAGGTCCAGGTTGGGTTTAGAGATTACTTAAAAATAAAATAAAAATTAATCAATTAAAAATTTTTTTTAATCTTAAAAAACAAAGAATTTATTAAAACAACTTCCTAAATTGTTCCACTATTTAATTATGCCCTCTGTAATCTCGTTTGCATTGTTCACAAATTTTCCTACAGCTTTTCAACTTCTTCATAAAACACTCCACTCCCCTCTACTCAAATTAAAACCTTCATCTCCCATGAATTTCTCCTACAGCTCTTGGGATTGACAGACACACATGTTCAATACTCACAGATATTAACCCTCCTGGAAGGAGGTAAGGTGACAGAGGAGCCCAGCATTCTTCTGACCCCCAAAAGCCGTCCATGTTTATGGACAATGGACAATGATACACTGACCCTCAAGCAGAACTCCCTATGCTTTAAAGCTGTGTCACTCAGCTTACCTTTCCTAGAGCTCAGGGATCAACAAACTACTGTCTCTAAGTCAAATCTGGCTGGTGGCCTGTTTTGATAAATGCACTTTTGCCGGAACACAGATTTGCCTGTTCAGTTCAAAATGTCAATGGCTGTTTTTTGCACTGCAAGAGCAGGGCTGAGCAATCAAAACAGAGACCATATGGCCACAAAGCCTAAATATTTACTGTTTTGTCCTTTTTAGAATAAAAGCATGAGACCTTGGGTCACTGCTGTTCACCTGCCACCTCCTGGTCAGTCCGTCACACTGTCCTTTATATATATGGAAAGGGTAAACGATCTTTGATGAGTAATTTTGCACACCATCCCTCCCCACCCCCAAATATACGGGTAACATACAACCTTATCAAAGTGGGGGGTCTTCAGTCATCTGTGCCCGTTTTCCTCCTTCCTATCAACTTATTTCCACACCTTGGTAAAGATCTTATCTATCACCAGCTGTTAGATAAACAGCCGTCATACAAAGCATGAAGGAAGTTAGGAACCATAGTACTTCATCCCATCCAAACTCCTTCTACGTCAGCCCCGTCCTTATGGTGCAAAACCAGCACCAGCAGCTGTGGGCAGGCCAGATTTGGTTAGCTTAGTTCTTCCACGCCTAAGGGAAGTTTGTACATTGTGTGAACTGGGATTAGGAGACAGAACGGAATAGGGACGTATGTTGAACTCACTCCAAGTCTAGCTTCTGCTGAAAAGCAAAAACTTGTCAAAGTAGCTAAGGACCATCTGAGAAGGACAAGGAACACTCCATATTTACCGCCAGACACCAACGCGTGGCTCTCTTATCTCCCTTTAATTGAAGGAAATCAACAACCTTGGCAGAGTTTCCCCAAACTGCACATCTAAAAACTACACATTCGCTCCCATTTCCCTTCTCCTGGAACATGTGTTAAACCTCATTCTTTGTCCCTTGGGAAAATACAATAAAAACAGAGTAATGTTCAATACTGGAGAAAAAAAAACAAAAACAAAAAAACCCACCTCTTCAGCCTTCCTGTTCCTAAATCCTACCACTATCCTGGACAACTTCACCATCAGTGTGGAAACCCAAGCACGACCTGAGAATCACCAGGTCCTGACCTCAACTCCAGTGACCTCTGCCCCCTCTCTAGTTCAGCCCCGCACACCTACAGCCGGGACATGTCACCACCTAGAGCGGCTCCACATTACAGCCCTTGAAGGGTCTCCTCCCTGCCTGCAACCTCGCCTTTCACCAGCCCTTTCTTGCCCCCTTCATTCACACTCCGCCCGCTTTTTCATCTCAGAGATCTGCAGGTCCTTAACCCCCCATTTTCTCTAGACTGGCAGTCTAAACTATTCTTTCACCAAAATCCTATGGAAATCAATCCTTCTATTGCATGTACCGAGTAGCTTTCTGCTCCCCACATAAATGCCTGGAGCTTAGTGCAAACGGATGTTACTGGACCCACAGCCTCCAACTTCAGTCGGGCAGACGCTCACCAGACCTTTTGCTTGCCCTTGGTCAGCATCTCTCTCATTTGCCAGGCGCCAGCACTTTCCTCAAGTCCACACCGCCCTCCCTCCCATTCAATCCCTAACCTCTTCTTCTCAAGGACCAGCCAGGACCTGGCCCAGGTCCCCAATCACCCCAACCTCCGTTTTAACCTCTTAATGTTGACTTGCTTACAGGTCCCCATGCACCCAGTGGTTAAAGACATGGGCTCCCGACCTGGGTCTGAGTCGTAACGTTACACTGTTTTGTGACTTGCATAGTCACAAAACATCTTTGAATCTCAGTCTCGTCTTCTAGGAACTCAAGATGCAGCTGTACCTGGTCGGCAAACTGCCGGGTCCGTGCTATTCCCTCAATAAAGTTAACCATCAGCATGAGGCTGCTACTGAGCCCTTCCTGCTCTGCCTGGAATGCCCTCTCCACCTTGAAACCCTCACCTGGCTAACAACTGGCACTTCTCTTTTAAGATAATTTAGTCAGATGTCATTTTAGGCAACTTTCTGCTTCCTCCCGCTCCCTCCTGTCTCCCAATGTGGACTGTGAAGAACTTAAAAACAAAAACACCCTTTTTCATTTCTGTATTTCCTAGCACAGAATCCACTGCATAAAAGATACTTAATGAACTGCTCAACTGAAGTCGAATCGTCAAGTAATGACGCCTCAACGTTATCTCAAAGGACGGGATTTTCTTACCGCTGTGATGCACCAGAGCCCCGTGGTCTACCTTCTTCTTCATGTCATATATGTGGATCGTTTCATCTTTGCTGCCAGTGACTACAAAACGACTACTGACAGCCACTGCTGACAACGAGGCGGTGTGGGCATGGTAGGTGAAGTCAGCCACAGAAGTCCATTTTTGCTGAAGAGTAAAACACACAATGTCACGATCACATCACAGTTCTCCAGAAGCACGTTAAGCGGTTACACAGTCCACAAAAACTACCAGCGGATACTTAGAAATTGAGAAAAAACTATGCGATGACAGCAGATTAAGAAAAACAAAGAACCCGTGAATTAAAAAAAGGCTGGCAGCAAGGAAACAGTAAGGCAACGCTGGGTGTCATGACTCCAAAACAATTATGGAGACCAGATTGCTTTAAGGTCCTATTCCAATCCTTAACTCCTGAATATATTTCCTTATACGTGAGACCTGCAAACTATTCATTCATTCAAATCTTCAGATTTGATGTGAATTTATTCGTTCAAATACTAAATGACTACTATGTGCTTGGCACCATTTTAGACAGTTGATATGTAACAGTGAAGAAAGGAAAGTCCTTATTCTAATGGAACTACCATCCCTGTGGGAGAGACAAACCGTAGGCAAATATGACATCACATAGAGATGAGTATGAATGACAAGTCTTATAAAGAAAAATAAACCATATTTCCATTAGTACCAAAATAAGCCCTAGAGAGTGACCGATGATGAGGTCTCAAGAACTCTAGGCTTATCCATTGTACAACTTTTGCACAGAATAAGTGAAACTGGTTGAATGCAAGGAATGACTGACAGCTGAATACATACACACACCCAAAATTGGCGGAGACGCATCAAGAAGTATCAGCAAATCAGGGGTACCTCGGTGGCTCAGTTTGCTAAGTGTCCAATTTCAGCTCAGGTCATGATCTCAAGTTCATGGGTTTGAGCCCCGCATTGGGTTCTGTGCTGACAGCTCAGGGCCTGGGGCCTGCTTCAGATTCTGTGTCTCCTTCTCTCTCTGCCCTTCCCCTACTTGCTCACATGTGCTCTCTCTCAAAAATAAACATTAAATTTTTTTTAAAAAAGGAGTATTTGCAAATCAAGCAAACCATGGAAGGAAAAAATAAATCCATCAGACTTCTTTGAACATACTTTAAGATGTGTTACTGAAAACTAATTTCTAAATAATTACAGCATCAAACGGTCTTTCCATCAATCAGGACCAAGGGCACCTCTTTTGAGTAAAGGCACAATATTCCTGAGGGGCTGCTACAACCATAAATCAAACACAACCTTTGTGCACTTTATGGAAGGAATGTTGATTATCTGAACTAATATCTGTCTAGGTTTAGAAGCAGCAGTGGATAGTATAAGAGCTTCATGTTTCAGAGACCCCTGGGGACTTGAGTCCCAGGTCTCCCAATATTAGTTGTGTGGCACTGAGGTCACTTAGCCTATCTCAACTTCAGGCTCCTCATCTGTAAAATGGGGATACCTGTATTGCCTCAGGAGATTGCTGTGAAGACTACATGTGAAGTCACAGAACAACGTAGTGACTTTATTACAAAGAGAACACAATCAACAGCATCATCTTTCAGATTCGAGAGATTCACCTTCCCGCCAAAACCAGATTAATAACCAGGTATAAACAACAACAACAAAAAAGTAATTATTCAAGTTATATACTTCTAGTTTTCTGGTTAATTCAAGACTGACACCTTAACTTCTTCATAAAGAAGTACTGAAAAGAATAGATTTCTGAGACTTAGGTTTGCTTAGGGAAAAACACTGCTAGGTTGAAAGAGATCTTTTTTTTAATTTTTTAATTTAATGCTTTTTATTTATTTGTGTGAGAGAGAGAGAGAGACAGCGTGAGAAGGTGAGGGTCAGAGAGAGAGGGAGACTCAGAATCCGAAGCCGACTCCAGGCTCTGAACTGTCAGCACAGAGCCCGACGCGGGGCTCGAACCCACAAAACGTGAGATCATGACCTGAGCCGAAGTCGGACGCTTAACCGACTGAGCCACCCAGGCGCCCCAAGAGATCTTATTTCTAGCCGTGGATATGCCCTAACTATCTGTTTAACTACTGGCAATTTACTTAACCTCTCCGCTCACACATCCAGTAAAAATATTTCTATTTTGTTATAATTTTTCTCCATGCATTTGTCTCCTTCGCCCTTCTTACGTCGGCAAGCTCTTTAGCGCTGGATCCATGCCTTTGGCTTGTCATCTCCACTACCAATTAATGGTCCCATGGTCAGGGTCCAAAAACAAACTGAGGAGGTTATCCTGACCCCGACCTAATATTCTGTAAAATTCCAGGACAAAAAGTAAAAGAGCGAACTGTTCTCTCCTTAAATCCTGAACGCGTACACCGGCTGTCAACGGACTCATTTGCCAGCTTAACCTTCCTGCACCGTGGCCGGAATGTCTCCTAAAGCCAACAAACACGATCTCGTTTTATGAAATGCCTGTCCAAGTTTTAAAAAGCTAAATTATACGTTTGAGCCTGACTCATCAATTCATCCCTAGGAGATCAGTGTGTTCACCTGTGCTGATGTTACCACGGCCGTGTGGGAGCCCGGCCAGGCCTTCCCGCGCCCCTCCTCCCGCGGTCCCTCGCGGCGCGCACTCTCACCTCTTGGTCGCCGCTTGCATCTGGCTCGGGGCGGACAGCGAACCCAAAAAGGACCTGTTCGTAACAACCAGCTACCAGCTCCATTCAGCAGCGCACGTGCCCCTTCAACCAGCACCGCTCAGCTGAGGCCGTGACGAAAGCGGATGCCAGAGAAAGTGGGGTCCTTCCTGCGTCGGCGCTCAAATTACGTCATGAGCTCAGGGCTGCCTTTAGGGCGCCTGTCTCCGCGGAAGCGGTTTCAGCGCTCGAAGATCACGCGGAACTTCCAAAAGGAGAAAAAGAAAGGATTTCACGTGAGGAAATTCTCACGGCGGGGAGAAAAATGTTGGGGGCAAGCAGGCATATTCTAGGTGGCTGTCAGGTAGGCGGGTCTAAAGGAGAGTGGGGCGGGACATCCTCTACGGAGGGGCCTCGGTTCCGTGACGTCACGAATAGGGGCGGGGCGGGGCCTCCCCGGCGGTGTCGCGCCTTTAGTGTGGTGTCGTCTGTGCGGTGGGCTGTCAGACGGGGGACAGGAAGGAATTGGGTTTCTTTAATGCGCAGGAAGCATCAGCAAGCCTTTGTCTCTCACATTGTCTCGTAACAGAGCAGAGAGGGGGTCGGCATTCATGGTCAGCGGTTTCTAAAGAAGGCCTCACACCTTTCCTTCCGGCTTGATTGGCTTGTCTGACTTTGGGGTCACATCGGCCGACGTCACCGCCCACCCCGGGGAGGGAGGAGGACGCTTTACCTGAAGGGTGAAAAGACGGGCGGCTTGCGGACGAAGGGCGCAGTCATCGTAGGGGAAGGTTCCAAAAGGAAATCTCCCATTTCACTTTGACCACGTCCCCAGTTCAGGGGCCAAGTGAAACGTGCATGAAAGCAAAGATCGCCTTAATTAACATTTGAAATTTTCATAAGGTGTGGAGATGCAGGGGTCTGTCGGAAACGACAGTTTTGCACAAATCGGAGTAAACCTGGAGCGTCGCAGTCTCCTGAGGGCCACAGCAGGTGCATCTGACAAGCAGGCACTGGGAGGCCATCGTTGGTGTCAAGTCTTGAACCCCCGTTTCAGTGCTGATCCCCTAGCACGTTGACCCTTTTGCTTTCAAGAGAATGTGTCCTCTGGTATTCCGCACTGTCACTACGTGTCTAACTCGTGTTCGTTTTAATCGCTGCTGGTTTGGGTCTTGTAGACATGATTACCCTTTGAATGATTTGGGGGTCATCGCAGCGCAACGAAGGCTTTGCGTTCCTACTTTGGCGACCCCACATGTACGCCCTCCTCAGGCACTGAAAATTCTGTGGTCAAACCAACACTCAGTCTCGGGAACACGTGTAGTCATTCACTGTTTTATACTAATTCCTTCACTATGTGCTGGTTATCTTCATTACGTTAAAAAAAAAAAAAAGTCAAGTTATTTTACTATTTAAGTTACTTTCCTTTTTACTCCTTCTTCGCTGTGTCCCCCAGAGACCCACCAAAGTGAGAGGTGTGTGAATTCGGGCAGTGGATGTCAGCTGGGCATGGGACAAAGAATGAGTGAACAGGACATTTCTTTGAAGTCTCATATTTTGTCGTGAAAACTGTTAGAAATTACTGGAACCAATTGAGAAGCTCAGAAGACCTTAGAGAGCATTTACGCAGGTGATCCCAATCTAGTTTATGGATAAGTTCTGAGGGTTTTCCAGCGCTTGAAATTATATGCTCAGTTGTACCATATGTTTTTGAAGGAGAGCATGGAAAAAATTTAATGATGTTTGCAAAAAGATTAGTGCCTCTAACGTTAAAATGCACTTGGGGCGCCTGGGTGGCTTAGTCGGTTAAGCGTCCGACTTTCGCTTAGGTCATGATCTCGCGGTTCGTGGGTTCGGGCCCCGCGTCGGGCTCTGTGCTGACTGCCAGCTCAGAGCCTGGAGCCTGTTTCAGTCTGTGACTCCCTCTCTCTCTGACCCTCCCCTGCTCACACTGTCTCTCTCTCTCTCCTAGAAATAAAAACATTAAAAAAAAATTTTTTTAAAGTTAAAATGCACTAATCCAGCCTGAGGTTATAAATGTGAAATAGGTCTAGAAAAGTAACTCTTTCAAAACCACACAGCTAAGGGACAGTAGACTTAGAGCGCTGCTACTTTTTACATTTCCTTGGGCTCAAACTTTCTCTTTAACAGAGGAGGAAAAAGCAGTTTCACTGCCTTAAGAAGAACAATACATCCAACTTGACAATCAACTATGAAAAAAAAGAAAAACAATACAAAATTACATACTTGTTCAACTAGATTCAAACCGAGCATACTTCCTGCAAACCTGTTCTCTTCCCAAACACAGGATGCAAAAAAAAAAAAAAAAAAAAACCATTTAATCTCATTCTTGTAAAAACTGCAGTTGCCAAGAAACAACCACCTGCTAAGAGTTCGTTGACAGTAGACCACGAGAGGATTTTTTTAGTTTTGCTTTTAAATTATTGATCAAAAAGCTTTTTACGCTTGAGCTGTGTGTTGATTTATTCATTCAACAAATATTTATTAAATGCCTGGCTTTGTTTGGTTTGCTAAAGAAAAAACAGCCAGTTTTTTGGGTTGTTTTTTTTTTTTTTTGGTGGGGAGGGTGGTAAGGCGGACATACTGCACTAAAAAGCGGGATACAACAGAGAAAAATCAGCCGTGTTAGAAATGTGAGAGTCTCATATTTCTGCTCATTACCACCGACACCCCCTTTTCTCACTGTGACAAGTAGCAAGTCTTAACTTTTAGGACTACAGAGGTACATGCGCATATTGCCAGAGGACTTTGGTCTCCTTTGCACATAGAAGCGGAGAGAGTGAGTTGCATCCTCCTGGACACTGGCCAATTGTCTGCCCTGGAATAAGTTTGCTTCACCTGCTTCATGAGAATAATGCAGGTGAAATCTGAGAAGCTGGCCTTTGGGGCTTTCAGAGAGCAAAGCAGTATTTGTGAATCCTTCTTTGTCACTGTCATCAACCCCTTGAAAGTCCATCTTCACTGGAGCTTTGCTCCTGGCCGTCTGTCCCCAGCTCTTGCCACACTGCTGGGGGATTTTGACACGCGACCTTGACTTCTCCCTTCCTCAGCCTCTGTAACCACCTTACTATCAACGTTTAATTTTTGATTTCCCTTCCAGCTATGGCTTTATCTCTCGCCCATTTATAGCCACCCTGCTGGTTTTCAAAATCCAGCTTTTACAAAATCCAGCTCTAAACTAAGAGAAGGAACCAAAAACTGATAAGAGTTTTACAAAAAGAATCCTCAACTGATGGGTTTTATTTGATGGCTAAGCGGCTACAGCAGTTAGGAATTGCGTTTAAGTTCATACAGTGATCTGAATCAGCCGTGCCTTAAACAAGACATTTATCTCGTAAGTAAAAGAAATCTGGAGGGAGTCAGTCTAGTGCTGGTACAAGGAGCCCTCAGTCTTCAGGCGCCCAGACCCATTCTCTCTTTCAGATCCTATATTCTGGTATATGGCTTCCTCTTCGATGCCATCTCATAGGCCAAAATAGGTGTAGAGTTTGGGCTCCAGCCATCATATCTCTAATCCCAGCCCTAGGCCCAGAGAAAGGGTGCAGTACCTACCGCAGGCCTCCTTCCAGCTGAGCAAACACCCCTGGCCCACACAGCTGGCCTCAATCCTCTTTATAATACTTCTATTTACATCTTATTAGCCTGACTTTGGCCGCTTGGCCACATCTACCTGCACTTGGGGAACTAGGAAATGTCTTTTAGTGAGGCCTATCTCTGCCCCCAAATAAAATCAGGGTGCTTTTATTTTTTCCCCTAAATTTTTATTTAACGTTCATTCATTTTTGAGAGACAGAGCGTGAGCGGGTGAGGGGCAGAGAGAGAGACAGAGACAGAGTCTGAAGCAGGCTCCAGGCTCTGAGATGTCAGCACACGAACCCACAAACCATGAGATCATGACTTGGATCTGAAGTTGGACGCTTAACCAACTGAACCACCCAGGAGCCGACCCCCCCTTCCCCTGCCCCCCAGATTCTGTTATTAAGGAAGAAAAGGAACCTGATTAGTGGCTGGCACCCAGCAATGTGCCCCACAGCTACTAATCAGTAACCTCTCCCAGGAAGCTTGGGGACGCTAGAGTGTAGGCGTCACTCCATCAGCCTGCTTTGCACAAGTAGCTGTTCAGTGAATAATAGGTGAATAACTGAATGATTTGAATTCATGATTATTATTTTTTACATCACAGGTAAATATAGACTACATCGAGCACTTACTAACAAGCTGCAAGGAAATGGCCAGACCCTAAGTGCCCCTATCTGGATTCAAAAGTTACCTTCTTACATTTTGACACTGCGTAGGCTGGCTACTTAGAAGGGCAGAATCTGAGTGAGGCTCTAATCCAAATCTATTGCATCAGAACCTACATCTTAAACAACATGCTGAGGGGCGCCTGCATGGCTCAGTTGGTTAAGCGTCTGACTTCAGCTCCGGTCATGATCTCAGAGTTTGTGGGTTCGAGCCCCGCGTTGGGCTCTGCTGACAGCTCAGAGCCTGGAACCTGCTTCAGATTCTGTGTCTCTTTCTCACTCTGCCCTTCCTCCACTCATACTCTGCCTCTCAAAAATTAAGTGTTAAAAAAAAAAAATCCAAACATGCTGGGGTAATTCATATGCACATTGAGATTTGGGAAGGCATGCTTTCTTTTGTTTTTTATTTTTTTTAATTTATATATATATATTTTATTTCTAGGAGAGAGAGAGAGAGACAGCGTGAGCAGGGGAGGGTCAGAGAG